AGGAAGCGATTCATTCCTTCCATCGTCACCGGAAGCTCCTCATATCGGATGATCCGGTGGAAGTGGGGGAAGTGATCGCCGCTGCGAGGTAGGGAAGCAAGGTAGTTGCGATAGAAGGAGGAGAGGGTGCGGAAAAGTGCCGCTCGAAAGAACTCGTAGTGGCGGCAGGCGGGGATTGTCCCCGTGGCAACGCAGTAACCCTCTACCACGTTGCATCGCTCCCAGGCAGCGCTGAATAGCAGGAGATGCCAGCAGAACGTGGGGGCAGCGGATGGAAGGGAGGCGTGGGGGTGGACGGTGGCGAGTAGGCAGGTAGAACAGAAGTCGTGGAAGAGATGGGGAAGGAAGGGATGGGAAGGGAAGGTGACGGGGGTACGGATCTGCTCGAGGGTGAGGAAATCAAGAGGTCGGCGCGACACCGTCCGAGGACGAAGGCCTATCGCCCGCATCAGTATGTGGGCGAACTGGGGGACGGGTGGGGCTGGAGGAGGAGGGGGATCGACTCCGTCTTCGTCGCGCGGTACTTGAGGTGGCGGCTGCAGGGTCGCCATCTTCGGGCTTCAGCGGCTCTGGATCCCTGGTTGGATCGTTACCGATGCGCAAGCTAGCTTCACTGGCAAACTCCAGCTGGCACTTCCTGGTGGCAATTTCTTCGCGCTTTCGCGCCGCCTCCAGATCTTCCGCCTCCGTTCCCGTACGCGTCGCTTCCTGCGGCAAGGCTTCCCACTCAGATCCGGTTTCTTCGTCCTCCTCTTCTCCTTCGCTCAGTTTGCCCTCGCTATGTTCACTATAGCTTCCCTCCTCCGATGTTTCCTCGTCTTCGTCCTCTTCGTCGTCGTCGATCACCACTTCCTCTACCCTCCGATAGAAGGCGTGAGGGATGATATCGTACGGCTTCAGATACTCTTGCCGCGATGGTAGCGTATCCTCGTCCCTAGGTTCCTCCAAGCATGCAGTCCACTGAAGGTACGGATCCAATGATCGCTCGAAAATGTACGGAGCAGGACTGTCGTCACTCTGTGAATAGATGTCGGGCGAGAGATCGTCCGCCAATTGCACGATCGGTGCAATGAGCTCCTCCGCAATCAGCAGGCGGCGCCCCGGCTGTACCGATCCAAAGAGAAAGCCAAAAAGATCGCCCTCCACGTTAGTCCTCCAAGCTTGGAAGATTAGCAACTCCGAATTTTTCGATCCACGCAGGATGCCCGCTGGTCTGTGTCCACGTCACCTGTACTCTGGTCAAGCAGAAAGACAGTTCCTCAAAAGTTTCGCGCCACAGCCGCCAATATCCAGGATTGATAAGAGGGACTGAAAAAGGCTCGAACGAGAAGGAAAGAGAAGGATGAAGATCGGATCGCCAGAAGGTGGGGAAGAGAGAGGGGAGACCAAAGATAGAGAGAGGAGCGAGAAGATCGGCGTGGTTCGTTGGGGATGTGGGAAGGGGACGAGGGTTGGGATCGCAATAGGCCGCTCGCGCGGTGATCGACGAATATCGCCAAGATTCGGTGCAAAGATCGGGATGAGGTTATACCCCTGTCCGGCGAGGACGTGCTGCCACATGTTGGACACTTGCTCCGTCCACTCGCGTTGCGAGGTCAAGATCGCGGTATGCCACTGCGGATTGACCGAGCTGATGTCGCCACTGAACACCCCAACCGTGGTGACGTGGCTCGTTCTGGGACCCGCTCGCCGATGAACTGCGGTTACCTCCGCGAATACTACTGCGTGAGGACTTCCTTCGATTCGAAGCGTGGCGGCGACACAGATACCTTCGTCGCAGAAGAATCGCATCAAATGCCGAAGATCCGCATTGAGCCGAGGGTGACAAACTTGCCGAATCTCTGAGATGTAGCCACGTGGCTGCAACAGTTGTGCGTCAAGAACCCGCTCCGTGATAAAACTCATGGCGAGGTGGGGGAGGATGTCGAAGGACAAGAGGGAGAGAGCGGAGAGAGGGTTAGATCGTCGTCGTTCTCCTCGCTTTCCGAGGGAGAAGGGGGAGGAAGATCGGAAGGAGGAAGGAGACGGAGGTAGGAGTGATGCCGGACGATGGGGACAAAGTTATGGCTGGCACTAGCCTCAGGCGTGATGCGCACCGTGTTGGCGCCGTTGGGTCCGAGCTCGACAACACGAAAACAGCCAGAAAACTTGGGAGCGAGTTTCCGATCGAGTGCACATTTACGTACCTGCACTAGGTCCCCTAATTTATATTGATGTTGGGGCCCAGCATTTCCATTCCGAGCCTCGTAGCTACTGACCCGTCTACCGTGGGCCAGTTCGGTCATCCTTTGCCTTTTTCGGGCTAGCTTCAGGACGGCCCGTTCCATTGATTCGGTGTACCTTTTGGCCTTGGCCTTCAGGTTGAGAGCTGCACGCGTGTCTCTACCCCCTGCTTCGGCAATTTCCAAGTTACCCCGGTAGTCGACACAGGGGAGGTTGTTAGTTCGAAGCTGAAAAGGGGTAAACCCCGTGGACTCCTGAGGGGTGGCCCGGTGGATCCCGACGATCTGATATACGATCTTGGGCCAAGGACGCGTGTCATCACTGTCATATGCTGCTAAGTTCCTGCGAAGGGCGGTTTTGATTATACGGTTGGCATTTTCGGCCAACCCGTTTGACTGGGACACGTGGGGTGCCGTATGTCGGAGTGTGACGCCCCTTCCTGCAAGCAGTTCTTCTACCTCACCCTTGAATTCAGACCCATTGTCGGTCAGAATTTCTTCCGTATCTAGATGGGTATAGAGGAACTGTTCGATGTACGTGGCTATTTCTGCGGCTTTTTGGGTCTTACAGGGATAGATTTCCATGTACTTGGAAAAATGATTTATTAATACTAGCAGGATAGAATATTCACAGCGGTTTGGGCCAGGTGGCACATCGATATCTGTCGTGTCCATATTGACTCGTTGGAAAGGTTGCTCTACTTCCGTTGGTACGATTGTGTTTGGTCCCCGTATAGGGGCCCGATCAGCTGCACAGACCAGACAGTTAGCGACAATGTATTTGACATCATCTCGTATATTGGACCAGAACCATCGGTTTGATCTACAGTTGCCTCCGTGACACGTATCGCGAAATGAGCGGCCTGTTCTTCGTGAGCAGATCGGATCCAATCATATCTCTGGAATGGATGGGGAACCGTCTACCACGAGCCCGATCCGTCAGTTTTACGCTTTGCCAAATGACCGTTGACCCATCGATAGTCCCGAGATCTCTCGATCGCCCTACGTCTGTCGTGTTTGGTGAGGTGGCCCATTGATAATCCCGCTAATTTCGCCAATAAAATTTTATCCGTCCAAACCTCCGCTCGTCGGTATTTTTCGTCATATTCAGGGTCGTCCGTACGGGCGGCCTCGAATCGAACCTCCGTAGGGAGTTTGTTCATTCTACACAGGGGGCACCTCCATTCCTTGCTATTCATCCGATATCGAACGCAGGCCCCGTGCGCACGATTGACACACGTGGCACATTTTACCCAGTCAACGAACTCGGTTTCGAAGGGATGACAGTCGACCCCATAGACCTGTGCAATGCACGTGCAAAAATAACAGAATTTATCGGGGAGGGTGGCAAAGAAAGCTGAGGACGTGAGAGGGGCAGAATTAGTAGGAGATGAAGGGGTTGCGGAGGCAAGTGGGGTAGTCATGATGACAAAGAAGGAAGGGATGCAGAGAGGGTAAAACAGACCAATTAGTCCTCGTGTCACTTACTGCTTTGATAAGATCTCCACTTGGCCGTACCGAGGTCCGATCTCCTGTTCGGGTTCGTTCCACGGAATCATCTCCTCATTCTTCGGAACTTTCTCGGGCCGGTGCAGTCGTGTCAGTCCGTCTGCATTCCCGTGTCTCTCGTGCTTCCGATGGCGAATGTCAAAGTCCATGCTCTGCAGCACCGTTGCCCATCGCCCAATCATGCCAGAGTAATCCTTCGATTTCTTCAGAGCCAACAGGGGCTCATGATCAGTTACCAAGGTGAACTTTCGCCCGTACAAGTAAGTGCGAAAGTGGCTGATTCCCCAGAGAGCCGCGTAGCATTCCCCAGAGAGTCGCGTAGCATTCCCCCGTTGGAGCAACGTAGTTGCGTTTGCAAGCTGGCACCAATTTGGAGGCATACTCCACCACACTCTCGAGTCCGCTTGGTCCCACCTGGGCTAGGATCGCCGAAATTGCCTCCGGCTGCCAGTCAGTGATGAGAACAAAAGGCTTTTCGAGATCCGGTCTTATAAGGACCGGAGCCGAAATGAGAGCGGCCTTGAGTTTGGAAAACGATTGATCGCATTCCGGTGTCTAGATCAACGGCTGATCTTTGCGCAGTAGATTCGTGAGGGGTCCCGCAATCTCCGCGAAGCCCTTGATAAATCTTAGGTAGTACGAGGCCAGGCCCAGAAAGGCGCGAACTTGCGTGATAGTTGTAGGCAGGGTTGTCACCCGGGGACCCCCGGGGGCAAAGCCGGGGCCGGGATTTCACCCCCAGACCCCCTCCCGCGGGGGCGCCGACCCCCGGACCCCTCAATCAACCCCCGCGCCCGCCCGACCCCCGGCACCCCTGCTGGACCCTGGCCCCGACCCCCGGCACCCCTGTTGGACCCTGGCCCCGACACCCGGCACCCCGGCC